ACAAAAGGAAACAGAAGGGAGACAAGACGGACACAGACACATTGACCAACAAGAAGGGAGACAAGAAGGGAGACAAAAGGGAACAGAAGGGAGACAAGACGGACACAATGACCAACAAGAACGGAGACAAGCAGGGAGACAAAAGGAAACAGATGGGAGACAAGAAGGACACAATGACCAACAAGAAGGGAGACAAGAAGGGAGACAAAAGGAATCAGAAGGGAGACAAGACGGACACTATGACCAACAAGAAGAGAGACAAGAAGGGAAACACAAGGAAACAGAAGGGAGACAAGACAGACACAGACACATTGACCAACAAGAAGGGAGACAAGAAGGGAGACAAAAGGGAACAGAAGGGAGACAAGACGGACACAATGACCAACAAGAAGGGAGACAAGAAGGGAGACAAACGGAAACAGAAAGGAGACAAGACGGACACGGTGACCAACAAGAAGGGAGGCAAAGGGAGACAAGCCGGATGGAAGGCGGACACGCTGTCCCGCAGCAAGGCGGACACTCTTAGAAAGCATTGAGAACCCCTAGCAGTATCCCGCTGTCCCGCAGCAAGGCGGACACTCTTAGAAACATTGAGAACCCCCAACAGTATCCTGTTTTGGCAAAAAATGAAGAAGTCACCTGGCAGAGATGTGAGCAGCTTCGAAAACCCCTATTACTTTTTTGTATAATCCAGGTTTGCTTTCGCAAAGCTTTCGCGGAGCTTTCGCGGCCTGCATTCTGGCTTTCGCGGAAGGTGTGGTGTTATGTGGGGCTTTCGCGGCGGCTTTCGCGGCGATTCGTTTTCAATTGGGAAATTCGATTGGGATATTGTATAATAAAGTGATTGATCTATATAAGTTATCCGATATAAGTGTCCTTAGGGTGGTCAAAACTGAACAAATTTCTTTCCGGCAACATCCTGGCACAAGGAGTTGTAGCAGCACCGTTCAAGTATTATTGTTGTCATCAGAAGAGGAGGAAAACTTGCTGAAACTTTTTGCTGGGGCCAGATACCTTTCCCGGATATTTTCGACTTTCGCGGTTCTTTCGCGAGGCTTTCGCGCGGGTTTCGCGGAAATTCGTCTGGGCTTTTCGATTTTCCCCTGAAACACTTGCTCTTCAGCGCTGCTGCTGCTGCTGGCTGGTCTGCTGCGGCTGGCTGGCTGGCTGGCTGGCCTGCTGCGGCTGCCTGCATAAAAATATGGTCACCCACATAAACAACACGACATGCACAAGAAAATCGACTTTCGCGAAAGCTTTCGCGACGCTGTTCTTCTGGGGTTCTTTCGCGGGGCTTTCGCGAACCTTTCGCGACCTGCGCTTTGGCTTTCGCGAAAGAATGTGAGATTACAGTTTGCACACAGAGGTTTTTGAAGCTGCTCATGTGAATAGAAATGCTGCCAGCGGAAAAGAGCTGACGCGGCAGTGCAGGCACCGAACCTGGGAGACAAAAGTAAACAAATCACATGGGAGACAAATGACTAGAAATGCTACATGGCCAGCGGAAAAGGGCGGACACCAGCAGTGCAGGCACTGAACCTGGGAGACAAAAGTAAAGAAGTCACATGCAAGACAAATGAACAGAAATGCTGCATAGCCAGCGGAAAGGGCGGACGCCAGCAGTGCAGGCACCGAACCTGGGAGACAAAAATAAAGAAATCACATGCGAGACAAATGAATAGAAATGCTGCATGGCCAGCGGAATAGGGCGGACACCAGCAGTGCAGGCACCCAACCTGGGAGACAAAAGTAAAGAAATCACATGGGAGACAAATGAATA